TTATGCATCGTAGATTGGCGCATGATAACTTTTTTTTATAAACATAAAAAAAATAAAATGAAAAAAATATAAAACAAGTCATATACGTATAAATGTTATCATCCGCCATTCTTCATTTGCCATTGAACAACTTGTGTATTTACCATTTTTGAAAAAAGTAAGTAGTTTTTTCTAAAATTGAACATTGCATAAAAATTTCAGAGGGCACCGGGAGGTGCTGCCCCCAACGGTCCTCTTTTACGTTTGGATACCATGATAATCAATATTTTCTATACCAGATGGCGCACCAGTCGCGAAAAGTATGTTCAGTTGCCTAAACCAATAAATATTACAGAGTTACTTTCCGATCGATGTATAAAATTGCAAACAACACGATACACAGAATAACGGTGTGTTCCTGCGCATGCAGCTGACTGACGGTGACGTCACGTGGGACAGAATTGTTAGTATTAAATGGGAAATAGTGTTTGAAATTCGATATATCGCCGGTTTTAGATTTTATGCAGTTACTTAAGCTTTATTGGTTATTTTATAATATATTCGTTTACAAATATGAAGGTTTAAGGTAAATAATACTAATAAAAATATTAATTTTTTTCATAAATTCTACGTATTTTGTGACATGGATAAGATAAATAAAAAATATGGACTAAAAATATAAGTTTGACTGAAATTTGTACTTTCTGGGAGTGGTAGTTCCTTTTAAATTTATTTTCTTAGTATGCAGAAACAAATTATTTTTTTATAAAAACCAAGTATACAAAAAATAATTTTTTATTTGGTAAATTTAAACATTTTTTTGCCAAGTTTACTTTGAAAATATTCAAAACCAATTTTTCTGTTCATGTATCTTATTCTTAAATATGTTCCTGTCCTGCTCTTGCATAGTATTTCTTGAAAAGGGACCGTTGTATTGGGACAGGAAACTACTGCTTTATCTGCTAAAATTTTAAAATACCTATTTTCTTTGCTTAATAAAGCCCCATGCACCTGGTGGAATTTAGTTTTCTTCTCTTGCGTTTATGTTTACTACTTTCCTCAAAGTAGATAGGGCAACTTCATGCTAAAATAAGCAACTTTTCAGTGTCTCTAAACCTATTACACTTGTGCATTTTACTAACCATTATTGTTTAAATTAAGTTTGTCCTTTCTATGATAAGAATTTATCCATATTTTGTGGCATTCGAAAATATCTTACATTACACTATTTTTGAATTTCGCATTATGGATTTTGCAAGTCTCCACCGCGCAGCCCGGCCATTTAAATATTAATTCAGTTCTTCCCTATTATATATAAGAAAATATAGTCACTACTAACACAAAAACAAATAAATTATTAAATTATTTTACACTATTCAATCAAAAAGTGTCAAAATAACTTGAAAGTTCGTCCCGAATTACGTCACTGCGCGGTTTGGACGAAATTTGAATCGAAAGTCAGTATACCGTTAGTGGCTAGTATGTGTATCGTGGGCAAACAAAAAATATTGTGTATATTTGGCGAATTTTGAATTCAGTTCGAGGTTTTAGGTTCGGTGTTGCCGTCTCTACAGATAGTTTGTGAATCCACAGACAAAGCTCATAGTAGCGTTGGAAATAGTCCGTTTTTAAAATACATTTCTACAAAAAATTTATTCCTAATGAAAGTTGTTTCTATTACGAAATAAAACAAAATTCACAGAAAAATAAATAGGGTGGGCATAAAATTGCTATAAAATAGGTAGTGTTACAGAATAAATACAAAATCCGAGCGCAAAATTATGAAACGAGCTTGTCGATTTTGGTCTGAAATTATAACATAACACACTTTCTAAAAAAATTATCCTAAGTTCAGCTCCGAAAATCTTAACAGTCGGAAAAAATTAATAGGTACCGATTTTGCTTAAATAGTGGAGAAAAAGACATTCCTACAGCAAAAATCAAGGGCGCTAATGGCGTTTTATAAAAGGCTTTGAGTTCATTATGAAACCCAAGTTTAAAACCCCATTTATAAACAAATAATTTTCTATTCTGTAATGTGCAAATAAAAGGAAAGAGTGCCACCCTTGGCAACGTTGTAATTTTATGTGTTATCAAAATAAGTGATCTGTCTGTAGTTGTCAATGTCATTGCGAATGCGAATCAAATAACAAATACATGTTTATTAGTAAATTAGGCATTCCAAACAAATGAAGCGCGGTTCTAAGGTTTGGAATCTCTAAAGGGTTGCGACATACGATGTAGTCTATTTACAATACGTGAAATCAAAATTAATGAATTAAATTTAAATATTTTATGTCAAACACAATGAAAATATTATTTTTATAGGAACCGTTTATGCATTTTCTATAAATTGGCAGGCTTGGCGATTACTATTTCAAATAGAAATAGCGTCCAAGATTAAAGGCTATGTCGCAATCCCCTTAGATTTATGAGCCCTTCCAACTGACAACTATTGTATGACAGGTCTTTGGAATATCTAATTGTGTGAGAATAATCACTGTGACTTTAATAAATCGACAAAGAAGTGGTTTTTATTATGGGTCGAGTACAAATAAAAAAACAGCAAAAGATTGGTTGGATTACGTCACGTTTTGTGTTGTACAAGTCTTAAACTTGTACGATTATATATATTGAGCGTTTAGAGGCCGCATAATTAGGTTATCATTGGACGAAGACTGTTCAATACAGTATCTCTTAAATTTCCAAAATAAAAACTAAAACAAATAATATATTTACCTACATATATTTATACGCTTTTCTATTTATGAATGTGTGAAGGCTATAGAATAAAGTGTTCATAAAAAGTAATTATAATTAAAATAAGCTCAAAAAACTAGAAACCGTGTTAAACTTATTAAATAAAAACCGATTATATATAGAAATCTAATTTTGTTAGTCATCAACGGCCGAAAATGGTACGTCTAGATGTTCTTATACGAGAATTGGTAGACTGTGCAACCACAAATGCACAGAAATGTATTTCAGGCTGCCTAACAATTTCTTTAAAGGAGGGGGTTATGGCGAAGACGTAAGGGACGAGGATTTTGAGGTTATGTATGAAATTGACGGAGCTGATGGGTATAGAACCCTCTTAATGTTTATTTTTTTTTACGAAATAATTCTTGTATTTGAATTCTTTTTTTCATAAAGTTATTTGAAAAAGTTGTTTATTTTAATATCTAACTTCTATACAAGCAATTAAAAATAACATATTAACTCTGGTAAAAAATCACGACGGCCAAGGTTTTAATACAATTATTACTATTAAAACCTTCGAGAATATTTTAAAACTGGTCACCAGTTCTATTAGAAAAATCAGCAAAATTAGAAAACTACATGTTGTATTATTTTCGTTGGTCACTTTACTATTAGATGTATACTTTACGCTTTACGTAAATATGTATTGTATGTTGCCTACCTAATATGCATTCCAACGTCCTGTCAAAGAATATCTGCCAGTTGCAAAGGGCTCCAATATCTAAGGGGGTTGCGACATAGTTTTCCATCTTGGACGCTAATTTTATTTGAAATAGTAGTTGCAGAGCCTGTCAATTTATGAAATTAATTTCATTGTGTGTTCGACATAAAATATTTACTAAATATACATTATTCACGATTTCTCGTATTGTAAATAAAATAAATCGTTTGTCGGAACCCCTTAGATATACCAACCCTTTTTTTGTTTGGCTAATATTGGCATTTTTTTATCTTTTTTTGACCAAATTTGACGATCAAAATGATGTTTTTATTAATTAAAAACTGGATTTGAAATATATTGGATGCTCACTATTATACAGGGTGGTACAGTCGATAGATTATCGAAAAATAAATAATGGTATATAGATTGTCCAAGGGCGGCTCTTTAGGGGGGGGGGGGGGCATTGCCTTTAGCCATTCACTTTTTTGACCTATTTCAAAATAGGAGGATGTTCAAAATCTTATTGTAACATTTTTTGATATTCTACGGATATAAAAAGAGGTCAAAAATTATTTTCCTTTACAGGGTGGGTCACAAATAAGTAAGAACATGTTTTTGATAAATTAAACTGTTCTAGAAGGTAAAAATATTTATTAAAAAATAAATTATTGCTATATTTATCATGTCTGATATTACAAAAGATATTAGGTGCCATTTATACAGGGTGATTCGTAAATATCGACATAGGCCAATATATTTTTTTATGAGTATTAATGTGAAATGAAGTATTTTAACGGGACTTTTGTGTATTTACCATATGTACAATTATTCAATTCATTGACTACAGGGTGATTTAATAAATATATTGATAGTTAATTTATTAAATGTGTCAAAAAAAAACAATTTTTTTTAAACACATTATATTTTTTGATTAGTCCTGTAAAAGTATACATAATTTTTTACTGGCGTATCATCTATCCTGTAGAAATGTTTTTTCTAAAATTATAGATTTTTTCTATGACTAGTTTTTGAGATACAGGGTGTTAAACTTAAGAAATACTATTAACGATTATCTCAGAAGAAAGCTAATCGATTATAATTTTTTGTGCCAAATCTTATTGTATCTTACGAATATAAAAATAGGTGAAAAATTATTTTCCTTTACAGGGTGAGCCACAAATAAGTAAGGACCAGTTTTTGATAATTACTTTTATTGCTCTAAAAGGTGAAAATATTTACTAAAAAATTAATTGTTGCCATATTTATCATTGTTAATGATAATACAAAAGATTTTAGATGCAATTTATACAGAGTGATTCGTTTTTTTTAATGAATGTGAAACTCTGTATTTTTAGTTGACTTTTGTGTACAATGTTAACATAAGTAGAACTATCCAATTTATTGATTTCTTGGTGATTTAATAGATGGTTCATACCGAGCAAAAACATATCAAATTGTACCTCGTTTGAATGCTTTCTGTGCGGTTATGTTGGTTGCTTCTTTTCTGTGGAAACTTGTTATTTATTTTTGGTTGTAGTTACATATATTTAGAAGTTTATTTTTTGTTATCATTTCTATTCAACTCAATAAAAATGCAAAATTGTTTTCTGTTTTATTTTAATGTATATACAAACAAGCTACACGTTTTCAGAGAAATGTTTTTTACCAGCAGTCAAAACCTTTTGGTATGTAGTTACATGAGTTTTCCACTTGGGCTTTCTTAATGTTAACGCCTGACCAGTGCCAGTCTGAACAACTGCCATTGCCACAATTGATGTAGACAGCTCTTACGTATTTATCTGTCATATAACCTATAAAGATTAAAAACATGTATATAAAATTAATTGGAAATAATATTATAAAGTATCATCTACCCACGGTTTTGACCCCTCCATACAAACTTTAAGTATATTAATTAAAAAGCCCAAATCCCGCTTTTGTAAGAAATCTAGGACAGCATAACTGGGTAGCTATTTTTGAATTTAAGGGAATAGAAAAACCGGTTTTTCATCTTTATCTCTGCAATGCACAAAATTTTTATTTTTGTCTCATCTTCACCAAAAGGAAAAGATACCCAGATGCAATGTTAACTGTTCATAAATAGTTTAGTACAGCACTTTTCATGAGTTAATATATCTCTCTCTCTCGTGTACTTTTTTTCTGCTGCCAAAAGAATGACAGGATAAAAGGAAAACAAAGAAATGAAAACAATAAAGATAGATAAAAGTAAAAAAATTAAAAAAATGGCAGGATAAAAGGAAAATGAAAAATGAAAGTAAAAAATAAAGTAGGAAAGACAGAAAATACTCCTATGTATAGTATAGATACATTTCAGTAAAATAAATATTTGAAGCAACACATTTTTAGGGTAGACATACATACCTGTTACACTTTTTATATTGAGATTAGTGATTTTGATGTTACTGGCTGGATGACCTTCATCGCCATAATCTTGGGTAATATCAATCCCTCTGAATTTGGTATCTGTTAAAAATAATAGATTTAAATCCGGAGTTGTTTATTTTTAGACAAATAAATATTATTTTTCAATGACGATTAATAATTTTCGATGTAATTTAAAGTATAATATTTTGGTCAGAGATTTTATAATGGTTGCAAAAGTAAACGAACTTTTAAAAACGTCATCTTAATGTCACTAAAAACTTTTTGATACTACAAATAAAATAAATTACCTGCAACTTGTGTGGTCAGAAAAGTAACATCTTTAATGACACCGCTCGGTTGATGAGGTGACGTCTGTATTCTAATTCCTGCCTGAGTTCTGGTTAGAAAAACGTATTCGAAGCTGATGTTTCCTATGTGGTTCGCGTAAGTCCAGTCAGGTCTGATGATCGCTCCTTCTGATCCAATGCATTGTACGCTGAACACTTTGATAGAGTCACCTTGCTTTACTAGTAAGCATGCACCTTGGTTTATGATTCTGATATTCTTGACATCGATGGCGCTGGAATTGACGAATGAGAGCCCGTGGGTGTCTACTGCTAGGCCGTCCTAAAAAGTTACAAATCTGTACTATGTATTATAAACAGAAATGGCCCAAGTACAGACCATGAGATATTTTATGTACCTTTAAACGTAACAAAATATGTAGGTTGTATAATGTAACATCATAATTTTTCTTTAAAAGATCGTTTCTATAAATTATAAACACAAGTGGCCCAAGTACAGATCCTTGAGATACTTTATGTATCTTTATACACTGGAAACTGTTGCAATAATTTATTAAAAATAAACTTAAATACAACAAAATGTATGCTGATAAGTAATAACTATAATTGACCATAATACCGTTTTAGATATAACAAGATGATCTTTAAATATACTTTCTAATCTGAATATTAATTGTGCCAAAAATAACATGGAAGATAATTCCAGTTTTGGAACAGTTATAACTTTTTTAGTGGGAGCAACTCTAGATTTAGATGTAATAAGAAATGAAGAAGCAGTGTGATCTTCATGAAGAGCTCTTAAGTATACGCAGCATCTGTATGGTAAGGAACTAATGTCCGAAATGTAATTTACAAATATTCTTTTTGTAAAATAAACACCTGGGAATATGAAACGAAGAGAGTTTAGAAATGTTTTTAATATACATAACGGTCCAAAATAAGTAAATCCCAAGGATGTTTTGCAAGCCAAAGTTTTTGCATTAACAACTTACCCTATACTATGACAGGATTAACCAGTCCTACTGGATCATAACACAGGGCAATTAAGAGGTTCTACGAAAAGGGAGTTTGGAGTGGAAATTTGTAAGGAGTCTAAAAGCAAATTCCACTTTAAACCTAATAATTTGTAGAAATTTTCATCCAACTGAGTTGACAGAAAAGACGCTTGAAAATTAGGAAGATTGGAACCAAATTTATGCAAATGAAATCCTGATTCAGATAGACTATTTGTAAGGTTGATTTGTAACTGATATAGTTCCTCTTCCTAATTTGCTCCTGTGTGGGTCAATAAAGTTTTTTGAGCTTAAGCATGCTGAGGGTTCCTAAGAGCAGTCTCTTTCAACACTCTGCATGCAAGATAGGGTGCACTTTTTTGACCAAACGAAACTGTAGATAGCTCGAGATAGAAAAAATCATCTGAGAGGGAGTCTCTACAAAGAGCATTTTGTAAAAAGCTTAAAGGTTCTGAATTGGTTAAGAATGTCAATCAGTTCTGGTTAAACTCGAGGACCTTTCAATGAAAGGCAAAGGAAACTATAGGATTTGCAAGAGAAATCAAATACAATTCTAATTTTTGTAGTAAGACTTTGTTCCCGAACCACACAGAAATGAGGTACAAAATATTTGTTCTCTTGAAGAGAGTTAGTGAGTGATAGTGGAACAAGTTTTCTATGCCCTAATTTAGAATCTTTTTATATTCGTCTTTGAGAGAAGCATTCTTTTCAAATTTTCCTTCTAGAGAGAGAAAACGGTTTTTTGCTGCAACAAACGAATCACTTAATTTTTTATAAGCTTGAGATTGTACGAGTGGTAAATCTACCTAAAACCTTCCAGTAGGAAGTATTAAGGTAGTGTCGTGAAAAATACTTTCAGCAAGTTTATCTTGTTCTTTGACGCAAGAGGGAGAGGAAACATTTTGCTTTTCCAAAAATCTTTCCAAGAGTGTGTCGAGATTTTCTTCTTCAGAGAAATTGGCATTATGTGTGATTTCGAAATTAGATATTCTCGAGGTACTGCCCCAGATAGTATCCACCCTAGTTGAGTTTGCATTAGTGTAGAATAAAGACCAGGTTGAAGCAAGTCATAGTATACATCAGGTCCTAAAAGTATATCAATATCTGAGGGTAGATTAAATGTTTTATCTGCGAGATAGCTTTTAAAATAAGGCGGTATATTTAACATTTGACTATTAATATTTGTTTTTTTTATCTTTGTTTTTTGTTTTTGTTTGTTTGTTTTTTTGTTTGTTTTTTTTTTTGTTTTCAGAAATCACTAAGGAAAAAGGATATGATTTGGAGGACATTTTTTTATGGGGACTCCGCGAAGAAAAGGGGGGACCTGGCTAGAGCAAGAAGGATTTTGGTCAGAGGACCTTTGTTTTTAGAAATGTGTAGAAATGTGTAGAAATGTGTAGAAATGTGTAGAAATGTGTAGAAATGTGTAGAAATGTGTAGAAATGTGTAGAAATGTGTAGAAATGTGTAGAAATGTGTAGAAATGTGTAGAAATGTGTAGAAATGTGTAGAAATGTGTAGAAATGTGTAGAAATGTGTAGAAATGTGTAGAAATGATTGGAAATGTGTGGAAATGTGTAGAAATGTGTAGAAATGTGTAGAAATGTGTAGAAATGTGTAGAAATGTGTAGAAATGAGTGGAAATGTGTGGAAATGTGTAGAAATGTGTAGAAATGTGTAGAAATGTGTAGAAATGTGTAGGAATGTGTAGGAATGTGTAGGAATATGTAGGAATATGTAGGAATGTGTAGCAATGTGTAGGAATGTGTAGGAATGTGTAGGAATGTGTAGGAATGTGTAGGAATGTGTAGGAATGTGTAGGAATGTGTAGGAATGTGTAGCAATGTGTAGCAATGTGTAGGAATGTGTAGGAATGTGTAGGAATGTGTAGAAATGTGTAGAAATGTGTAGAAATGTGTAGAAATGTGTAGAAATGTGTAGAAATGTGTAGAAATGTGTAGAAATGTGTAGAAATGTGTAGAAATGAGTAGAAATGAGTAGAAATGAGTAAAAATGTGTAGAAATGTGTAGAATTGTGTTTAGGGCTCTTTAGAAATATTTAGAAATGTGTAAAAATGTGTAGAATTGTGTTTAGGGCTCCGTCAAATATTTCGCTTTTCAAAAAGGTTCCAAAAAGGTTTGAGTACCACTGGTCTAGTGCATCAAGAGTTGTTTTGGCATTTGCCACAAATTGCCATGTCTCATTTCAATGTTTCTTTTTTTGTTCCCATATAAATTTGGTCAAAATCTAATAATTGGGTCCATGAGAAAATCCTCAAACTCTCTATTTTTTATGTATGTTTAGCAATAATTCTTTACCACTTTGTCTGATTTATATGATTCGGTTTTTGTTAGAAAAAGGGAAACCTCAGTGGTGGTCCCATATAAATTTGGTTAAGATGTGATGATGGCTTCTGCACAATTTTAAAGTCTTTTTTTTTTAATTTTTAATACTTGTATTCTTGATTACTGATTTATATGTCGAGTAAGTATATTTATTTTTAATTTGATTTTTGATTTAGCTTATGTAATAAATAATCTAACAATTGCTAGATTATTTAAGTATTTTCTTTAACTTTAAATTTATTGATTATTGGAAGGGCATACTTTTTTAATTCCTATCAATATTTTAAATTTCATTTTGTTTTACATACACTTTTTATTTCCCTTTTATACCACTAAAGATTGGACAAATTTTATTTTTCATTATTGATTTATTATTGCATAACTTTTTATAAATAATTTTCTTGTAAAATGAATAATAAAAAATTTCTATTTCTTGTCAAATACTACTGAAATAAATAAAATATTCCTTTTACCTTATCTCCATCAGATACGTCTACATTCAATCCACTGATAACAATATCATTGCTTCTGCTGACTTCTGCGCATGTTTGGGGACAGTTCTTAATTAATAAAGATTGAAAGTGTCCTTTTTTAGCCTGATCTATGTTGACCAAGAGGGGTTTCCTCCTATCACTGAGAATACCTTTGCCGTCCCAATATAAAGCACCTTGACCATCAATGACTCCATCTGAAACGTTTAAGGCAAAATAAATAAGAATGGATGGAAAAAAAAATATTAAAAAAAATTACTTGGTCCATTTTTAACGAAAAAATTGCGACCAGTGATGGTTAACAGAGCCTGTGAATCATCGTATCTAGGTTCAAAACTCAATTTTCCATTAATCGTAAGATTTTTTCCATTCAGATTAAAAACGGGTAGAGGTCCTGTAGCTGGAACGGTTAAATCTCCAATTTGAATGTCGTCACATTTTTCTAAGAGTTTTGCAATTTCATCCACTTGAGTTACAGTACAGTCGTCCACACTGGCTTTTGCAAAAGCAAAAATATATATAGAAAAAAGCAGCTTTAACGAATACATGTTGCGTGTTGGTTTCAAGTGTATAACTAAATACAGACTTGTATCTAAGTCTAAATTTTTTTATTTTATACATTAGATAAATTAAATTGATTACACAAAATCATTACAACCGTTGTAATGTTTTTTTTTTAAAGATAAATCTAAAGATTTGAATATTAACAACAATAACTAATAATAAAAAATAATTCATTCAAATTTTAATATGTATAACATAATGGGCATATTGAGGCCCAAGTGTCGTGGGGCAACTCACCCTCCATATGTTACAGATTTATTAAATAATTATTGAAGGTTTGTCACGACTCCAGTAATTCTATTGATGTTTCTAGAAGCACCTCCGCCATTGCTTAAAATATACATTTACCAAATTCGACATAATAATGTTTATTTAGCTTTTTGGACAATCATATCATAACATATATATTATAAATAAATAAAAAAATACCAAATTAAGATCGATCCGGTCCATTGAAACCAACATAGGCTGTGCTTGGCCCCTTATTTGTATATCACTTAAAACGCATACAAATAAATTTAACATTAATAATAATTATTCTAAGATTGTACATTAAATAATATTTATTGTAATAAATGCATTAAAAAAGAAAAATATATTAAGGAAAAGAAAAAACAACAGATTTGAACACAATAACACAGTCTGTTCGTTATACTTACGCGGGTTTCGGATTAAAAATTTTATGAGTATTTCCAGGTAAGTACCCGAAAGTTTGACCTGTTCTTTGGGGAAATATCAACTGGTTAAATGAAATGAAAAATAATGTATAACTTTTTAATCAAATAATAATGGAGTATCTTTTGTATAATTGAAAGCAGAATTGAACTTCTTCATTAATGGAGTCTAATGTGGCTATTATAAATCTAATAATAATTTTATATTACACTTCACACAGACAATATGGTCTATGTATAATAAGAGGGTTATTTAGCTCAAATAAAATATTTTCTAACATAAAAATTTGTTCCATGTAGAGAATTTCAAATGAAAATTAAAAAAATGAAGTTTCTCGCACTTGGATATACAGTTCCGCCACACTTCTGGAGTTGGAATTAAAAGTGTTTTTCGCCAAGTTTCCCGAACTGCGTCGTCACTATAACCATTAGGCCCAATATGGCTGTCATAATATTGTTTTGCTATTCCCCATATATATTCGATGGGATTAAACTGGCAATGATACGGTGGCAGACGTAAAACTTGATGACCGTAACTTTCAATAATCTGATCCACAACAAAGGTTTTTGGTTTTGCATGTATATTTGCCAAGCGTAATAATTCTGATTTTAATATATATTGAGGAAATGCTATATGTTCCTTTGTCAACCATTCTTTAATTTTATCAAAAGTCCAAGAATTCGTTGGACTTTTGTTTAATACTTCAGAATGGTAAGGTGCATTGTCTAAAATAATTACGCTGGGCTCACTTAAACCTGGGAGAAGTTTTTCATGCAACCATTTTACAAACATTTATGTGTTCATATTATCGTGATAGTCACGGGATTTTAACTTAAATGAAAATATTAAATTAGCACCTTCTATAAAACCCAATTTCCCTCCTGCATGTAAAATTATGTGTCGCTTCCCTTCTCCATCGGTATGTTTGATGGACTTTACGTTATCATCTTGCCATATTCTATTGGTTGCACCCCTAGAAAATATCCATATTTCGTCTAAATATATAAAATTCGCCCCGTCAATTCTCTTGTACACGACAGAACTTCTTTCACAAAGGGCCTTTCTGTTACCCTCCTTTTCAAATTTGAAACCCAAGTTATGTATCACTTGCCATAGACTTGTTCTGCCAATGTCGTCAAATTTTCTATCTATTAATTCCGAGAGAATTATATTTAAGGTCACATGTTTCTTGTTGGCCCTCATTCGATAAATGGTATCACGAATTTCAAATTTCTTTCCATCTGGAATATCTTTCGTTTTCAATGATGGGCGAGTTTTGCGGTGATCTTCTTTCGGCAGTTCACTATTGTGATTTTGTAATACTCCTCTTAATTTGGTTTCACTAATTCCTAGAGCATCGCATACGCGTTGTTGTACAGACATTACCGATTTTAAAGGACCGCCATTTTCATTTTCATTTGTAAAATACTTATGTACACTACAAATTAGACTATCTACATCTAACACACGTCTAGGCATTTTTAAAATTTCCACTAAATTTACAATATGTCAACACTTGCAAAGAATCAATTCAACTGCAATATTTGTAACAAATTTAGTACCTACCCTAATATTATTTTAATTTAAATCTGACCATTAGGGCAATTTTACCTAATTTCTTGGGAGGAGGCTTATTGGAACTGGTTGTCAATGACTAATTTGCATAATTTTGTTAATCCGCAACCCACGTAAGTATAGCGAACAGACTGTAGGACATATTTCTGTAACTTCAAATTCATTAGGAATAACCTACAAAATAAAACAATTATACTTGTTTTTTTTTAAATTCTAGAACCTTAAAAAAAACCCATAAAAATCAAAGAGAGTTTCACATTTTTATACAATTTATTTTAATGTTTTAGAAATACCTATCTTCATATTCCTATATTTCTTCTGTTCTTTCTTTTCTTTCTTCTTTTTCTTCTTCCCTTTCTTATTCTATTAATTTTTCCCTTTTATTACTGACAAAGCCCTGTCCAAGGGGGTGAGGAAAGGAGCTACCAAATCCAAATACGGTTGGCAAAATTTACTTACCCTACCAACTTTTTTTACTTAATATACATAAAAAAATTAAGTTGTTTTTTATCTTCTTTCCCCAAGAAAGTGTGCCTTGGTTCGACCTGATTGCTTCAATATATTAGAGTCTAAAGTCTATAGAAAATAGCATGAAAGTAATAAAATACCTCTTATAAAAAAACTTCTATAGGCTATATAAAAATATTTACAGATTAAATATATATAATGAAGGATATTATTTTCCAAATTTTCTAATAATTGTTTTTCTTTTCTTTTCAGCGAATATCCGTGAAGAAAAATTTAAATCGCCGTAAAGAAAAATTTAAATCGCCGAAAATTTCTCGAGTTAATCGGTAGCACGATGTCAATGGTCTGAGCTCATGTTCATTTCATCTCTGACAATAAAGACGTTTCATCTTGGAATGTATGTCCTTGGATGTACCTTCCAAGGTCAAATGGACAAGGCTGCAGTTATACTACCCGGAGATACGTCTACGTATCAAAGGGTTGCTATAGAATTGAGCATGATACGATGATCATTGATGTCGTCGGGATTAGAAGATTTGTCCGGACGCGTTTTAATCGGAGAAATCAACTGGAAATAATGGATATTATGAAAAATGGAAAGAAATACTGGATCAACTAATGGGATGGAGAGTAAAGGAGCGATAAACGACTTAAATGGTGAGTGTTTTGAATTAAATTCATCTTCTTTCTGTGATTTAGAATTCATTTTTATTTCTATTATACTTAAAAGTGTGCCTTGGTACAGTCCTGACTCCTGAGTTTAATTTTTTTTTCAATTTCATACTTTTTATATGATTATTGATCACGTTTTTTTCGACATACGAAATCGATCATTCCTTTTTTGTTTTTAAGTTTTGCTGTGAACGTATTTTTTAATCTTTAGGTATATGCGCACGCTTCTGTAGGTACTTCTGAACATTTATCAGTACAGTAGGTATCTTAAGTATCTATATCTATTGATTTTTTAAATATTTTGAAAATATAAATTTTAATAACAACTTATGTTTAAAATATACTTTAATTACCCTGATTTTAATATAATATTTCACGGATCTAGAGATAAAAAATAGATAAAGGTATGATTTGAATTAAAACTGATTAAAAACATCTAAAATTGTTTTTTTTGTGTTGATTAAGTAGAAGAGATAAAAAAAATATTAACAGAAACATTAGAATTCTTGTAAAGACGAATACATTCATAAAATAACTCAAAATTTATTAAATAAAAAATTCTTTATATTTAAAATGATACAACTTAATTTTAAACTATTTAAGTAAATAAAAAAAATGATACAGATGATACATTTTTAAAATTACTTGTTAAAATCAAAAAAGAACACTCTTAATTAGAATGTTCTTTGAAAAACATTTACCAAGCTGTAAATGTTCACCTTATATAAATTTGAACGCTATATCTAGAAATAGCTTTATAAAAAGATTCGGAAAATTGAATCTATTTGTTAGATACTCTTTGGACGCTCTGTATATTACGGCATATTAATTACATTGTAAAGAATATTTGTAGAATTTAGAAAGTTACATGGATCTTCGATGTGAACTAAATTACTTTTTGATCGACCATTATGATGAAGATAGTTTTAAATGTATTTAATTTTAAATAAATATTATTTATTTGTTACCTACTTGTTGCCAATAATTGAATTTAAAAAGAAAAGTTTCATATTTTGTTTCTCGTAGAAAAACACTTTTTATTTACATTGACACACAAAGAGAATCACATTCAATTATTACTTGGCAAACCTTGTCAAAATGAGAAAAGAAATTATAAATTTGGCTATTACCTATTTCACCCTTTCTTTTTAGGTTTCATATAGATGTCAAATGTCAGACTTGTCCTCTTAGATGAACACAGTAAGTCCATTACAAAATTTGCAAAGCTATAAAAAAATTAATAGGAAAAATAAACACTTTAAATATCTTAAACTTATATTAAACAAAGTGTGTTGTTTAAAATTGTCTATAAAAAGTTCTAAAAACACTATCACAATTTTTTCAGTTTATTCACTTTCACTGGTTCATTGGTTTTGTTGTCTTTACTCCTGAGGTAGATGTTTCGCACCTTCACGAATGGCAGTTCAAAGGTTAGCGTTAATATTATGGATAATCCTAAAAAATAACACAAAATACTTTCAGTAAGACGAAGTAAAAAAAATTTAATATACAGTTACAACAATAACAGGCACATAAGGTCCATATAAGATCCCTGTGAAACACCGGAAGTCACTGGATTTCACAAGAGATCGAATTATGCAAAATAAAATTTCCCAAAATACCAATTTCTGTTAGTTTTTTGAGAATCAATTTTCCAGTAATTTCCAAGGGCAAAAAAGGTTTTAATTATCTATAATTTCTAGACTAGTCGCCTAGTAAGCGCCTTGAGCGAACATACGCTGAATTACTATTGTGTATACGCTAGTTCAGTGATGATGTAATTATGGTTCCACTGACAATTATAGTGACAGTAGATTTTTTGAATGCATTTTGTTCGTTTTGTTTACCTAAATCAGTGGTCGCCAACCTCTCAATGTGTTGAGCTACTTTGTTAATTTTGGAATAAACAGCAAGCTACCCACACTGAAGCCACGTAACGCAACGAAAATAAAATAATCCACAGCTAATTTATTATTATATGTATTTATTTTACTATTTAACTGGTAATACATAATACATAGGTACTAATAATAAACTAATAACAAAATAACTAATATTACCAGTACGTACTTGTTCATAGCTACATTCCTACCTACC